GGGAGCCGCCGCCCCCGCCCCGGCCCCGGCCGGTAGGTGCCCTCTCTGCCTTGGAAAGAAAGCGCAAGAGCCCACCCAAGCGCCTCCAGCCAAATCCGGTACTAACAAGCACTGCATTAAAGCACGCCTACCCTTCAAACATTTTTAAGGAATCAATTCATAGGTTAGCTATCTTTAAGTAAGTCCACAGCTCCTCCACGGTGTGAGCGAAGGATTGTAACACCAGTCTAGGACTGGAGCACAGCCAGGCTGGGTGAAGCCAGCCCCCTGCAGCATCCACAACCCAACTGTCATCTTCCACACAGCTTGATTTGGAGATGAGGCAAATACAGAGCAAGCACTCACCCTTTCAGGTTCAACAGGCAATGCCAAGGCCAAGCACAACGGGAAGCACAAACAAGTCCCTTCTCCACCCTTGTAGAGAGGGGCAAGCACAGCCTTCGCACACCTACACCCAGCACATAGGCACAAGAGGCCGTGAGTTACCACAGCAATCACAGAGATGGCAGCGGAGGGCACGGCAGGCACCGAAGTGCTGCCCCTTTCCTCGCCACTCACCCACTCACCCGCAGAGATCGCAGCGGAGGGCACGGCAGGTAGCGAAGTGCTGCCCCTTTCCTCGCCACTCACCCTGCAGGATGCGTACAGCGAACTGGGAGACAGAGCAGTAGGTTACCTACCTGGAAGGCACCGCTGCTGCTTGCTGCCATGCCTTCCTACTGCCTCAGTCAGCAACGGCAAGAGAAAAATATACCAGTCCACCTTCACACGTTTTAAAATACAACTGTTAAAGACACTTTGGCGTACGCTGGCAGGATGTTCTTCCATACCACAACGCAACTAAAGCCCATGTTACGTGCACTGAGAAGAGAGAAGTGAATAACAAAAGCGGCAGTGGCGTCAGGAGTGTTCTGCTGTTCATGCACTATTAAGATTATGTGGCCTAGAAGTGTGTTACCTGTGCGCCAAATCCTGCTCCCCTGCATCAGCAATAACCGTGGCTGCAAAGCAACCACACAAGCAAGGGGGAGAGGTCAGAGGATACCCAAAACCATGACACACAAATAAGAAGGAGAGACGACAGTTCTGTTGAATATTTTAATATCTGCATTGCCTTCATAGCGCAATTAAAGCAATATTTAAAATTCACTTATTACAAATGTTTGTCAAGTCTATTTTTCCCCAGAAACATTTTTCTTACTTCCTTGCACATACACCCAAACACACTATAAAAACCTCATTCATAACATCAAAGGAAGGGCAATCATCATTCATGTAAACATCTTTCTTAGAGTTATCCATTTTTTAAAAGTCATGAATAAACCTACAGATGTTCAGTAAGGCTCATAGTTCGAGTACAAATGTCATAAAACACCTATCAAGTACTGTATACAAGTTAAATACTCCGGGGTTAACTGTTAACACACGTATAAGCTTACCCCAAGGATTATTCTTTAGCACTTAGTTCTTCAGAACAGAGACACCCAGTAATTATGGGCTAGAGAGTATTAAAATAGCAGAAGGCCCAGCAGAAACTGTTAAGTAATACACAATTTTAGTCTGGATCTTAGCTCAAGAGTTAAATTCAGTACAGTTACAGTAGGAAAAGTTTTCTAGGAGGAAATCTGCAGAAAGGAGGGATGGATCCGTTTGTACAATATCACAGAGGGACAAGCTGAGAGGTATGTCCTGAAGATGTGACTGGCCTTGCTATTGCAATTATTTATGACAGCCGTGTGTAATGCTGCATAAATACTTTCCCAAATAGCAGAAACGACCATTTGTAATTGTAAAGATCATTTGTTGCATCTCCCCTTTAAAAAAAAAAAAAAGATCTACTTATTGGTAATCAATTACACTTGCATCTTACAAAAAGACATCCTTTTAAATTTGGTTTAGATCTTACTGGAACTTTTTTTTTTTTAAGTATTCATTCTACCATGAAAATATTTCATACAAACATCATTTTACATACAAATATGTTAAAACTTGTGAAGAGGGTCTTCCCACACTCATGATTTTATGGCTTTAACATTTTATTGCTTAGAATTTTTGTATATATATTTCTCCTGGAAACAAAAAAGTAGTTACAGTAAAACTGGTAGAGAAAGAGGGCAGGAGCTTCAATAGCCTGAAGACAGAAGAGCGCCAAGAGGAGGGTCCATTCAACAGATAGTGACCTTAGTGTTCAAAACCTTTGATCTGGGGCAAGTAAACATGCACTCAATCTTGCACCTTTTTTTTAAAAAAATAAAATCCCTTATAAGACTGCTTAGAAACGCTTTGTCCAAAAATATAGTTCTCATGTTTCCAATACACAAAGCAAAAGGAACAAGTTCTCCCCGGGGCGCAGGTGAGCGTGAAGCCCACTTAAACCCAGAGGTAAAGCTGCTCCCACACCTGCGTTCCTCGCCCAAATGCTCTCAGCATATGACAGTGCGGTGTAAGTGAGGAAGAGGCGTCTAATGCAGCACCCCAGCATATAAGGAGACACTTCAGCAACATTGTTTTCAAAGCAATTGGGTTTTTTTTTTTAAGTGCTTGGAGGTAATTCCTCAGGCACCCACAGCTCCAGCAATTCTGCTGTGCCAGAGGAAAACAAAGCAGCAGATAACCAGCTCTGTACAACCCGTTACCTCATTGCAACGGCAGCATTTTCCAAAAAGACTATCAAATCGAGTGAAAGGATAGAAATCACAGGTGTCTCTGGGACAGAAGCGACACCCCGTGCAGTTCCTGGCACAACCGAAGTGGTGAGCACCGGTTTTGACTGAAGGACAATGCCAGCCAACTGCGAAGGAAACAGAAAAGTGGCAATTTCCACCACTTCTCAGTTTCTCCTACCAGACGGGATACTTCGGCTACTCTGCTCCTCCAGTGCCTGGCAGAGGGTGCGAAATCCCCGATGGCGCTCTCGCTTCCACGCCAGCAGTGTACTACAACAGCCCCGGGAAAGAAACCACAGCCAGTGCCAGCTGTGTACAACACTGAAAGCTCCCCATCCGAAAAGGCTGAACTAGGGAGAAGGCTACCTCATTGCTCCCGAAACACACGGCCTCGCAAGGCCGAGCAACCGGCCTCCCAAAGGCCTCGAAACCTGCACGAGACGCCCAGGAGCTGCATCTGGGAAAAAGCAGGGGCCATCCTAGCGGGTATCGTTGCAACTGTGGAAAAAGTCAAAAAGCTATCACAGCTCTCACTCCGATCGCTGAAGAGTCATATCCACAGATTTCCTTTGACATTTTCAACAGTTAAGACTTACATGTATTTATGTCAGTTAAGGTTTTTTTAATTACTACCAAAAAAAGGGAAAAAGCCTCTTCAGATTTGTGAAGGAAAATCAGGTATTTTAGCAGATCCCCAAAAGTCAAATTATAGCATGAGACTCAACTTGAGACACCCCCCCAGGCCTAAGCCCTCTTCCCTCTTATCCAGGGGAGTGACCCAGCAGCAGGTAGCTCTCAGCTGTAACTTCTCATGCTCTCATCTCCAAGATCAACCACTTCTCCAGAAAACTGAGCTGCTGTATTCTTGGTGACAAAACAGTGCTGCCATAGCAGGAAGATCCATTTAAGTTTTGTTTTTAAAAAGAGACAACCAGCAGCCTCTAACACAGGCTGATACAGGCTCCTTCTCATAAAGGAGCTCAGGTAACAACCTTCCCAACGCAGAGGAGCCACGTGCAGCACTGCAGACCAAAGGCAGACGTTGGGAACTGATCTGTACCCGAAAAAAGCAGCAATTCCAAGTTCTCTTATGCCATTCTTTAGTCACAGTGGGTACTCTGAAAGCCAGCTGCTCACCCAGGCTCAGCTGACTGGCATCAGCTCTTCTTCCCGTTTCTGTGCCGGCAGGACAGCAGGTCTTTGGCCAGACAGACTCTGAGAAGTGGGGCTTCTTTACTTACTGTACATTCACCAATCGTCAGCTGCATTCAACAAACTCAAATGGATTGCTTTGCAATATGACTGCTTCCTCTGCTCCAAATTAAAACTGCTTTTTGGTGGGGGTCTCGTGTTACTACTGATAAACAGTTTTGCTAAGCTGGTCTCGCTATCTAGTGATACAAGTGATACTTGGCAATACGTTGACCAAGTTAAGGCATTACTTGGAGTTCTGCAACTAATCTGTGTTTGAACCTGTGGCTGCCAACGCAACCTCTCGAAAACTTCTGAAGGACACACTGAGCCCTGAGCCCTTTTGCTACCCAGTGGTAAAAAACATCCCAACCATCTCCACTCTAACAGACCACAAAGAAAAAGAAAACAAAGAAGAATTAAAAGGCTTGGTCCTGAATCAAGCCAAAGCAGCTTTATAATCACAACTTTTATAGAAGGTTGGTCACCGAAGAAGGTATCTATAGGAGGACCGATAGATTTTAACAGAGTAGAGAGAAAAAAAGACAGTAGAGCTAACGGAGACAATAGCCACAGCCGTGGCATACTACCAGGCTACAAGCATATGCAAGAGCAAGAGAATCTGCCTGACTGTCACCAAATTAACAACTTTTGAGAACACACAGAGCATACCTCAGTGCCTTTTTTTTTTCCTAGAATTTCCCTGTTTTAGGATGCAACCTTCAAACCTGATGTGCAAAGAGCACCTACCTTGTATTTATCTCAAAAATCAGGCAACATGAAGACTGACAAATCTATTAAAACATAAGCAACTCCACACGAAGAGGAGATAGCAGAGGAATCGGACACTGATCAGGAATGAAGCCAAAGGAACTCTAGAGATCAGAACATTTTAAGCATGATTCTCTAGCAGGCACAAAGAGGCCAGCAGTCCAAAGCAGGTTATCAAGACTGTGGAAGGAGTTACCATCCATTTACAGCAGGGTTCAGTCACATATCTTCCCTCTCCTCTTCCCTGCGCTTAAACACAAGCTTCAGCTTTGCAAACTTCATGGTCCTGGCAGAATAATCCACAAGGTGCACACAACAGCTTCCTACCAGAGAGGCGCGCTTTTCTGCAAATGGCTGAAACAGCAATGATCTAAAATAATGACCTGTGGGCAGGCAGGGAAAGATCAAGACATGCATATTTCTTTTTGAGGTTCACTTGCTGAAGTTGTGCTGCCAATTGGCCTTTGACAATTCTCCCTCACCTGTGAGGCTCAGTTCTGTCTCTGCACACTCAGCTGAGTCCCTGAGCTGTCACCTCTGCCAGCCACCTGCCTTGGACGAGAAGCAGAGCTGTGGCCTGAGTCTCCAGCACAAGGAGATGAGTGGTGTTAAAGCTCACATTCAGATCACTGCTGGAAGAGTGTCAAAAAGCCCTGAGCCTACTTGCCCCCTCCCCTCCCCCCCCAGCACATGCACGGAGTAGCTTTTGTGCAAGCTTAAATGGTGAGGTGCTGGAAAAGGTTTGTGATCAGTCACAGGGACTAAACAGAGCCCCAAGTTAGAGAGGTTGTTATTAATAATTCCTACCTTTGTACAGGTACCAAAGCAAGGCTTCTCAGACTGCACAAAGCAGCAACCTCATCCTTCCACTTGCAGGTACCAACCCAACACATTCTCCATGTCTAGCTCCCCAGACAGCGAGGCACCTCCAACCGTTCAAGCAACCCACCAAAATGTGTTGCAATAGAAAGGTAGGTCTGATTTCCAAATCCTTTATGTTACATATATACAAACTCTTTTTAAACTACAAACATTGAAAGAAAGTGTTGCAAATGCATTTGAGTTTTTCCTAAGCTGCTAAACCCAAAAGAGAGCATCGGAGTCTCAGAAGGGCTCCAGCATCCAGACCGAGATGATACATTATTTCTCTCTAATACAGCATTAGGCAAGACCAGTAATGTATCTGAAAAAATGCACAACGATTTCCCTACCCCTGAAAAAACCCAGAACACAGCCCTGCAGGTGAATATTCACAAGCCCCCGCTATTGGCTGCAACAAAGCTATGGATCGACTGCTGTTTCTAAATATGAGCGGTGAGTGATGTTTTTACATTCATTGTTTGTCTTTCAAAAACAATCTTTTCACTTTATTTTTTTAATCTTATTTTGATATCTCATACTATATTAATTTACTGTGTCTTAAACCAGTACTACTAAGAGATGGCTACAAGGCTATATTCTTTGTCAACTGAACACATACAAAAGATAGCTCTCCTTAACCAAGTACTACAGCCTGCCCTCAAATACATACACCTCCTTTAAGAGAATTCACGTGAGATGTAAGCATCTCATTGCTAGAATTTTTGCCTCGAGAACTGGCCACTTTAACAGGTGAAACACACAAACCAACTCATGGACACTAATGCAAGTAATGTGCTTGCCTTCCAGAACACGTACTTCTGAAAGTCCTTCGAAAAGTGAATCCGTTTTCTCCTTTCAGAAAATCTTCATGCAAAGAACAGCTTCATTTGCGTGTCATAATCATAAATTAAATAAAATAAGCCAGCCGTAAAGGCTAGATAAATATTAGGTTTGGACATGTTGCTATACTATTTAGAGAGCCACAGAGACCAACACACAGCACTCTCACATACACACACAAGCCTTTCCACTAGTTAGAAAGGATTTTCTCCTGCAAAAGAGGATTTGTAGAAAGAACAACGTTCAGACAAGAGGAAAGGGGAGTTAAAACCCAGCCTCCTATATGCTAATAAATAAACTGCTCTATTGCAAGATTCAGATCAAAGGTTTAAAAAGGCAAAATTATGCTACTATTAGAGAATATCAAAATATTACTGTTATCATCACAAGTGGCATATATGCAAAATGCAGTTGCACAATAATGCCTAGGCAGATAGAGAGCAACACTAAGTCTGCCGACTAAAAGTGAACGATATACCCATTTTAGTTTTCTGTCTAGTCTTTTGGCATCTTTGCATATGGTGCAAAAGCAGAAGCTACCAAAGAATATCACGTCTCGTATAGAATATTAAATAATTTCTCCAGATAAGACTGGTGCAACATTAGCTAATTTTAAATCTGCTATGAGTAACACAGTCAAACCTAGTTAGTATGCAAGAAACTTATCTCTTAACACAGAATGCAAAGTTATGATGCAACAGCATGAACAATCCCTGGTTGTCCAGTTTTCAGTATAAAGGTAGTGCATAGATCCAAGTTTCTATTTCAGTTTGCTGAATGGAGAAGGAGCTCCCGTTTCACTTTTGCTGGGCAGCCTGGAAAGCTTTCAGTTCCAGCTGGTACCACTCCGGTGCTTCTGGCCCGTTTTGCCCAACGGGGTTGTGATCGTATCCGTAAGCCACTGTTAATTCTTCATCCTTCTCCACAGCCCTGATGGTACGGATACACTTGATAGGCCCAAAACGAGGATGAACAAACCTAGATAAAGAACAAACACCTTTGCTAGGCTTAGCTGTCAATTCACAGACTCTGTTAGCCCCTTTTATAATTTCAGAAGTCACTCACAGTTCAGAGTAATATCACATAATCTGATACCAGATGAGTAGATTGCTTTGGGTCAATCTTATGAAGACTTATGTAATAAGGGCAAAACCCAATATATTAAGACAGCTTTGTGTAGCTCTATTACTTGTCATTTTTCAACTGTCCTGCCACATTGCTTGTTTGTAATAAACAGATAAAACAAAGTTAACCACTGCCGCATGCCTTGGGCTTGCAGAGGTAAACATCTGCACGACAGGAAGACAGCATAGATTGTGAGAGACTGGCGAGCATGGAAAATTGCTCATCTTGATTTCCTCAGTACAGGTTACCTACCAAACAATCATAACATACTTCTGTACATCTTCTCCCAGGGTCCCACAGTAAAGGGAATTGGCTTACTTAGTGAAGGAAAACTATTTTCTACATATATATCTCCACAGGTCTGTTCGTTTATACGTATATACCCTTGAGCATATATGTATACATCAAAAGTTTCCTAGTGCTCTGCACTGACTGCAGAGCAGCAAGATGCTCATTTTTTGAGTTTCAGAAATGACAGCACATTTGACGGTGCTGGTCAAGCATCTGTAGTTCAGCAAATACGGTGCAGTCCTAGCCAAGCTAGGATTTAGAGAGCTGTGTTTATGCGTTTTAGAATCAAGAGGCAGCTCCTGAAGTTCACGACAAAATTAACACAGTTGCAAACTTCAAGATACTCCATGGTGTAAGTCCCAAGGGACATCAAGCACCCGCAATGCCAGCCAGTTTCCAGCTCGGCCCAGGTGAGCAGGAGCTCCTTCAGCGCCCGGACCCGTTACTCCCAGCCCCACCGGCTGCTCCTCATTCAGCTGCCCAGAAACACCCTGTGAGCCCAGACCGCCAGGCTACCCCTTCTGCTCCGAAACACAGGACTCTACTTACGGGTCATAGATGCAGTTAGGAGTGAAAGAATGGTTGGCCTTATGCCCCAGCGAGGCACAGTACTTGGCGGCGTGGTTGTAGGGCTCTGGCACGTCTATGACTGTTTCGTCATCCAGGGATATTGTATTTCCATTGAGGGCCCAGTCTCTGCTGTCTACCTAGTTTGCAAGGCAAAAATCCAGAGTGTGTGTGGAGGGGTCAATTTTGCCAGCAGTTTGAAAGCAAACATTCAAATATATGCAACTAAAGCTTTTCCTGTGTGTAAGCCATTTAAAAAAAAACAAAACAACCACCACCACTTTTTTTATATATACATAGGTGAACATGCACTTTCTTTCAATTAAACTCCATCATATTAAATCTTAAGGGTGGGAAGGGAGTGGGTGTAAAATCCTACTATAAGAAGATTTCAGAAGGAGCAATGAAAATTCAGACTGACTTTTTTCTCTCCTTTACCTCCTGGTGTGTAATTCGCACTCCATTGTAAAAGGACATAACTGTACTGGCTTCTGCTGCTATTTTTGAAAATAATCCTTCTCCAGCACTGGAAATGAGAGAGACATCAACATACACCCTACAAGGGGAAGAGGGCATTGAATTAGTGATTGGCTACAGTTTTCATTTTCAAGACGTATTATCACAACGCTACTGGCATAAAGACTAATAATACTTCGATATAATAATAAAACTAAAAATAATAATAATTCAAAACCTCCAAATGCAGCTCCTTCTTCCTCTCTTCCATACGTTCTCTCTATTTTGGCAAAATGGAGATTTGGTGGGAAATGGGGGCTGACTTTATCTATTAGTTTGAAATTATTTTTTTTTTAAGTGCCAATCTACTATTACTCCTCAGTGCTAGCTTCAACTCAGGAACACCCTCAGTAACATACCAGAATCCCAGAGGTCCCCACTAAGCTGAGGTTGCTGATGTCTACATGCACAGACGAGCAAGAGTTTTCAAGGTGAAGCCCTAGACCTTCAAGCACTTGATGCAAATTAATGCCAGAATTTTACTAATCCCTTATTTAGGTATTTCAGAGCATCAGAAAAGGACTACAATCCAGGTATCTACAGAGCAAGGCCTCTTAAAAGTCTGGGTAAAAGGTGTAATTGTGGAATAGCCACGGAAGAGATGTCACTGACTGACTACGATGAGACAATTGCTGAGGAACGTGTTTTGACATTACAGGGTTGTCACAAACAGTATCTCACTTTCCTCCAGCTGGATGATTTACTCTTGCCACTTTGCTACATCTGTATGGAGGGAAGGAATCTGTGTACAACGCATGCCATCCAGCGAGACTCACTGAACGCAGCACGCTGCAACCTGAAGCTAGTTATACATCTAGAAAATAGGGAACAGCGTACATTTTTGCTCAGAATATTGTAGACGCGAGCTATTAGTGGAGTCCAGGACCTGACTGAACATGTCTTTGAAATGCTAAGAAATTATCCTAGTTTAACGTCTTAAAAAGTATTGCTGTGTTCTATCCGCTAGAGTGCGATTTTATTGGGCGAATGGGAAAGAAATTCAATCAAGTCAAACGCTGACTGATGTGCAATAATGGGTTCCATTTCACAAACCCTTACACGCTTTTTTTTTTTAAATTTTAAATGAGAAAAGGTTTGCAAAATCAGGCCCTAAATATGTAACAGCAAAGAAATATGGACAAATTGAAAGAGGGAAGAAGAAAAAAGCCTACCTCTCTGACTCGTAAGGATCAGGAAGAAGTGCATTTGTAGAAATGCAGGATGAAGTAGATTTGTCAAAACTGTATACTGGGCCTAAAAAACCAGAAATCAACAAAGGAAATAAACTAATTGGCAGTACTGAAAGCATGCAACCCTTAACTTAATCAAGACATTCAAAAATTAAATATTAACGACTGCAAGAAATAAATGTTATGCTTTCAAAAAAGGTATTAAACAGAACTGCACCTGTAAAAGGTCTTCAGTGAGATACTGTTTCTTAATTATTTTTTCCCCCTCAACATACTGGAGTAGCAGTATTATCACAAAAAGGTGATACATGTTCTTCAAACTACCATCTTTTAAAGGAGGACTGGACAGTCTTTCAAAACTGACCTTCCCAGAGTCTCTAGTTAAAATTAAAAAGTAAAGCAAAATTGAAAAGGATATATTCAATAACACATTAATTACAAAAAATATTGGACTATTTCATATATGAAATGTTTTCTAGTCCAAATCCTGAAGAGACTTCAGCCATAAGGTGATGTTCAGTAATCACAAAGTGCACTTGCTACAGTCATTTATTTCCTGCCATTAATAAGAAACTCAGTGGTACAGCTCTAATTATATCCTTACATCCCTCTCCAATCAACTGCCAGAGGACTATCTGGGGGATAGATTAACATGCAGATGGAAATAAGATGGGGGAAAAAAACCCCAAAACAGAATATTACAAAGTTTGATAAAAGCCATTGCCCCTGGTGTCCAAGATCTGTTCTGGCTGAAGGCAGCTTCCTCCAGAGTGTAGCTGAACCCTGTTTACAAAGCACAACTGTACCCTCTCGGAAGATAGGTTTTAAGTTAAATTTTTATTTGCTATCACAACTGATAGATTTAAAAAATAGAAAGTCACATGCATTTGCTTCTCAATGCCTTTTCACCGAGTTTTATGTTCTTATTCCGTATCCAGTGAGACAATCTTTGCTGGCAAAACAGTAAACGTGTTAGCATAGTCCCCGTTTATTACTCATGGCCCTGTCCGCAGCTTAACCCACTCACTTCCAAAATACCACATACACCTCAGAGCACCAAAACCACTCCAGAACTATAGGCCCAAGCCACCGCTGCCCTGGAGAAGGAGCACTGGCTACACGGGTCAAAGGCACCACCCTGACCCTAACCATTTCACAGCCACTTTCTATCAGCAGGACGAGACAGACTGAAAGGAGCTGGAGAATCAGACTGTTATACAACAACTGAATCTAGTTCACTCATTCCGATCCCTGTGTCCTCCCAGCCCCGTACACAGGTGCCAGAATATTCAGCGCTCACGTTCACTTGCACAGACCCAACTGACAGAGCTACAACCATACCACAGCCCCCCTCTCCACTTTTAGTGATTTTACTAACGAAACAAAGCCTGTAACTGTGCCAGCATTAACGCTGTTAAGCAGGTTTTCATGCTGGCACAGATGGCACTGGTGTGTGCGACAAGCAGGACTGTGCCCATGAGCGTGCGAGAGAAGGGTTATGAAATGCCATTCAGCAGCACCACCGCATGGATCACTTCCCCTTTGTGCCCAGGGCAAAGGAATTGTTCCACGTGCCTTTCTGTCCAACTTTATAATTTAGAAAAAGGGCTTTTCACTATTAGACTTATTCTCTCATCACAGTCAGCCTTTAGTCCCTCTAACGGGAAACATCATAGAAACTGAGCTGTTTGCAGCGAAGGGCTGGTAGCAAGAATACAAGTTTCTGTGTTAGCTGAACTTACTGCCTGGTACTACTTCAAACTGAGGTTTCCCATCCTCTGCAGATGTCAGAGTTGCCAGTTTTGCTTCTATCATTTCTCCATCTATGAACTTTCCAGAATATGCAGTCTTTCCATCAGGGTACACATAGGCTATTTTCTCTCCAGTCATCTCCCCTTCTTCATTCACTTCTCCTACAAGGCTGCCTCCATCCTGAAAGCATGGGCAAGAAAGAAAAGGCAGAGATTTAGTTATACTTTTCTATCTGCAGTAAATGAAAAAGCTTTTTCCCAACTTTTTAAAGAAGCAATCTAAGATACAGTAAGTTCAGATGTGAGATCATGAAAATGAGTGAAAACAGACACATGAAGAAGCTGGGTGAAGTCATTCCAGTCAGGGTAAAACTGATAAGAGAAATGAACAGGGTTTTCTATGTTGTTTGAAATAGGCAAAACCCAAGATCTTTCCTTCCATGTGACACACATACTGAATTTCAATTGGCAAAATTTTTATGTGAATAGTCTGCGAACCAAGGCCCAAAGCCACACACAAACTTTGTCTGAGTTTTCTTAGTATGATACTGTGCTGGAGGAAAGAAAAAATTAAAACCCTGCCTTGCTCACTGCTAATTCATGGTACATCAAAAGACTTGAGCCTATTAAAAAAAAAAAAAAAAGAAAAAGACTTGCTGGATGACTGGAGTTTCTCTGTCCCCAGCACGCACCCTCCACGATGTTAGGTGGTACTCGACGAGAACAACTTGTTTGCTGAAAGCCATCGTCAGCAACACTCTTCCTCTCAAAGCATCACACATTTTAGCCCTGGGCTTTGCCATCTGTGATTTGCCTGCAACTCCGGTTAGGTCTATTTACAGAATTGCAGAATGAGATGCATAGATTAGCACAGGTCTAACGACTTCAGGTGTTTATTTCAAAAAGGACAAGGAAACATCTTCAAATAATGCCCTGGAGTAAAAACAGCAGGTGTGATGAGGAAACAGACTGCTTTAGATCAAGATGTCTGCACACAGACTCTATTTCAGAGTGGCACTATTTTGTTCAACTCCAAGGATGAAAGAGCTTCAAACATACCATAGTAAGGAACAGTGAACCTTAAGTTTGGGTAAAAATTTGTGCACATAGCATCATGCACAGAACCATGCATAAATAATTGCTTCCATGGCAAAGGTTTTTTTTGAAACACCTTGCATCCTTTAGTCTGGCAAGACAATAATGATAAACAACCTCTAAATACCCACATTTCCAGAAGGTACAGCAACACTTTGTCAGCTGGAAGATGAAACAGAAGACATATCACCTGAAGGGTCAGCTGTGTGTATTTTATACACTAGTACTGAAAAACTGCTACTTGTTTGGCAGTGTACAGCAAGCATTTGTTGATTCCAACACACATGCTTAATGGCAACAGTGAAAACCAGTAAATAAAATGAACAGCCAATGGTGAGCATTTGAAATGAATCTGCAACTAAAGTATGTGCAATATGTAGCACAGAAATAGATTGGGTTATGACCAGCAGCTTAATTGCATGCAGATGCTTCCCCCTCCTCAGCACAAGGTAAAGATTGAAAGGTTCAAGTCTAGAGTGTTGTGTAAGGCTGAACAGGAATTAAAATTTTTAAAAAAGTTACATCTGATTTGTTAGGGGAAGCCAGACTTCACAACATACCCTGCAGAAGTGGACAAAGTCTTTCCTCCCAGTTAAATAAGAGCAGCAGGCTGCAATAGCTTGCATGGCTCCCATGCTCCTCACCTGCAGTCAGCACTACAGTGGCAAAATCACCGGCCCAGCCTTCCCAAGGAGATACACATAAATGCACCTCCAAGGGGCTGGGTTCCCTGCAAGATGAAAATAGTGGAGGCATCTCGCAGCCTTGCTGAATCCTCTCTACTGGGCAAACATTCAACTCTGAAAAGGTTTAACTGTGTGTTGGATTATCCAAAATCAGAATGCACAGAACTTCCACCCTCATTTTTGTGCGTTGACTTTTGGATAGCTGGGTCACGGTGAATATTTGTTTCAGCTGGGAGAAAAGAAAGATCCATAATGATGCTATTCTGCAATAAAGAGAGCAGGTAGTCAGGCTTACCGGGTAATAAATCCAACAAACTCCATGTCGAATGTTGTCTTTATACTGCCCTTTGAATATCAGCCGCCCGTCACTGTCATACTCCTGGGCCGGTCCATTCAGCTCTCCATCCACATATGTGCCATGAAGGACCACTCCATCCTCGTAAGTGTAGATTCCCTGGCCTTGCAGGGCGTCATCAACATAGTACCCTTCCAGGGTGCTGGTAAAGAGAGAAAGAAAACAGCAGTGGAAGACTGTTCACCTCTCTAAGAGGTGAACCTAAAGCCTCGACACGAGGCACAGCACAACCCTGCTCGTCATTCTACATATTACTGGTACAGAGAGGCTGAGGGGAAACCTTCAAGAAAGTCAGGTCCTAGGAGGAGGTAACTGTTGACGCCTGGTTTGTTACTGCCGAGTGCCCTACAACCCTCCCCGAAACGCATACCACCACAGCAACAATCACAGCTTTTCTTCATTTTCTCGGTGGCCTTTCTCCGAGAGCCCAGGCTGTCCCGAGGCAGAGCTTTGCACAGGCGGACCGAAAGGTACGCTGAAAGGCTCGGCAGTGGCTGCTGGGGCTCTCTCGCTGGGACACCGCTTCCAGCATCTCTCCTCCGTGCCCCACCAGGCATCACTATCCCCCATGTCTGAAACTCTGACGTGTTTCCTAGTTTCAACCAAATTTGAGGGGGACAAAGGGAAGGGGAGTGTGAAGGTAAACCTGACTTCTCTGGAAAGCCAAGATGAAAAACAAACTTTTTTTCTATGGACCTCCAAAGGCAGAGAACAACTTACGCTGTCCTTTCACCAGGGTGTGCTGCATGGGCATTATTCATCTAAATTACATTGCTGAGCCTTTTTTATAGGCTGGGGTAGCAAATTACAGCAGAGAATGGACGCTCATGGTCAAAGAAGAAATTATTGCTCAAGCAGGCTACTCTCACGTTTGGATTTTCTACCTCCGACGTTTGGATCTTTACCGACATCTCTCTGGCGAGATGAAATTGAACTGCCATACAGGTGGACCGCAAAAGGGCACAAACTGCAACCTGCCACCAGTTCAGCGTTAGCTCCCTAGCGATACACTTAGCAGCAATCTGTACCAGATTTGCTAAAAGCACTGACATTTTTCATGTATTTCTATTAAAATGGAACACAGCCTGTCAAACAGAAATAGTGCTGCACTTGGATTTGAACAAAGAAACATTTCACTTCAGTTTTGTCTTGCAAATCCTTTAGAAGGGTCGCAATAATATCTTGCAATCTGCTTCGCTTCCTTTCTTAAAAAAAGGCTGCTGAGAGAAACTACAAAGAATGAAAGCGTAACTGTAAAAAAGGATCTATTCACTTACTTTTCTCAGTTTAGAACTAGCGTAAGGAAATAGAAACTGTTTAGCTTTTACTCCAGCATATTTAGCTAACAGCCAGCTGCAGTACACATGCTTTCACTGCATAATTCTTTTTCTGATGCAGACGTCTAAGGTATAAGCCCAAACAGCATCTGGGAGCACATGACTCTACATGTTCTACAAAACTTTACAAAACAGATTTTCAAGAGTCACAGAAGGAATGTTTTCTCAGAATTAACTTTCTGGTTTTTTAAAGCTTCACTCTCCATTTTTACATAATTTTGGCAAGCTGGCTGAGGTTTCCATGGAAAATACACTACAGCAAAAGCCTCAATGCAAACCAGATGCAGAGCAGGAAGGGGCAGGAAAGCTGTTTTACTTTTCAGTCAGATGAATTTCTTGATCCAGGTTGCTATAGAGCTGCACAGCCAGCTACGGCACCACAGTACAGGGAAGGAGCAGAGCAGATGAGGGAACCACCAGAAATCCGTCCGCTTACTCGACTATAAATGACACCACTTTCTCCTCTAGTTTATCACAGATCACCAGATTTGAATTTCATTGTAGCTGGCAACACACACAGAGTCCACATGTAGGATTACTCTTTAAAAGAAGCAGCCACCCCCAGTTCATGTAATGAAACAGACCAAAAAACCTTCTTGTTACCTTTAATCATATTAGTTGAAGTTAACAAGTTGCTCAATTACAATGGTGCTTCAGCACTGGAAAAAATATCTTTTCTTTTACTGTAACTCAAATCTCTAGGTTTTCTTTCATTGTATTAAGCTCCAAACAATGTCCAAAAGATCCATCTTTCTACTCTCATATCATCTAAGGAAATCCAAAGAAAGATACCTAAAGAAAGAATTCCATGTCTTTCAACCTTGCCTAAAAAGTGAGGTTCTCTAAAACTTTTATACTTCCCACAGTTTTCAAGTTATTTTCCACCCCTCTTCCCCCCTGCTCTCTCTCTCTTTTTAAGCTCTCAAAGTATGGTGTCTGCAGCCAGACATGATACTTGCAACTAAGACCTGACGGGCATGAGGAGGAACAAATAGCTTCTGTCTTGCATAAACAAAATCTTGTTAATACAAACCCTGAGCTAGCCTACATTTCTCTGGTTTGCTTCTCAGATTATCATGTTTGTGATAATGTAAAGTTTTACTAAAGTCAAGATTTATCAGATGTACTGTCTTCGCATTATCCACCAGGCCTAGAGGGGATCTAGGACATCCAGTACCTAAAAAAGAAACCAGTGATAAGAGTTGGGCAGGGGGGGAATACTTACCGCAATAGCCTTCCAGGTATTAAGTTACATCCGTAGACCCTGATGCATTCATCCCTCACTCCCTGATCTCCCACCTCTCCCTCTATATGGGAACATTGAAGACTATTTCTTAAAAATAATACCGTTCCCTACTGTGTTCTGGAGATGTCGGTTTACAAGAGTTCCTAGTTAAGGGAAAACAGCAGCTGCAGCTCTGTGCCAAACACGGCTCTCATGCTCGCAGTTATTGCGCAAAGTGTTTTGTAAAGTGCACTCCAGCAAGCGTTAGCACCAGTGAAAGCTCAAGTACACGATCCAAAACAGGGAGTATGCCAGAGGTGAAACTTCTCTCTCTCTCTGAAAGAATATGTTGGGTTTTGTTGCATTTTTGAAGGGGGAGGAAAACACAACTGATATTTCATTCCAGGTTTCCACTCCCTTAAATAATCAACAGGAAGGGGGCAGCTATTCCAGTAAAGTGAAAAGTTTTCACGGAGACAAACAAGGCAGCCAGTCCTATTTCCCAACACTCAAAAAATGAGAACGCTTACACTGCTGCCCGTCCAGTGTCCGATAGGACTCAACTACTCCCAGAACAACAGACCTACAGCAGTTCAGCTGTCAGCCTTTACCAGCAGCCTGTGAGGGAAACATACCCGGGAAGGCTGAAACCAGCTAACTTACTGCACTGAAGCACCCCATACTGTAAGGGCAGAGGTGTTTTGAGGAATTGTGGGGGTTCATTTCTCTTCTTCATAAACACTCAGCCCTGCCCATGGCACAGTTAATGGAAACAGCACATCCCGTTTTATGCCAGGTCATTCTTCCTGCAACGCCTCATGGCACCTGGACCATCCCCTTCAGAGAGCAACTTACTCTTGCTAGCTGGGCGTAGCTAGGTAAACTGCAACACCTTTAGTAACTAGTCACTGCTCAGTTAAGGCTGCTTTAGCTAAATTAAAATAAGCTTAGGGCAGTTCATAAAAATACCTCATTTTCCAAAACCACATTACAGACTATTTTTGTGTATTTTAATTCTGCTAGTTCCTGAAGTCATACAGTAGCCAACTGTTCCATTTTTTAAGGGTTATGAAAATTAAAAAAAAAAAAGGGGGGGGGGAAGAAAAAAAAAGACGAGTTGGCAACACTGAAGCGGTACAGAAAAGGCTCAGCAGCAGCCTGAGTTTTCCCAGAGCACTGCCTGTACCCTGGATTACTTGGAGGAGCAGTCCTACAAACAAAATAGTGGGTCAGTTTCTCTGACTGTACAATCAGCAACTGCTCTGCTGAGATCATCAACAAGCACAGAAGCATTATGTACATGTGTCCATAGAGACACTGTCTGCCAACTTAAAAAAAAGGCTATTTTAGAGAGGTCAGCTGCTGGGCAGTACTGATTTTCAGTTACTCATACAAGATTTAATAAGCCCATTACCAACAACAGTGGGGATTTTTCTTCATCAAGCTCGGAGGCCTGATCAGTTTCTGCATAACTGAATAAATATATTATCTTTCTCATGAAAAAACCCCACAATCCCCAGTATGAAGCAATTGCAAAGGCAAGTACAGACAAGGAGCTGACTCACTGAGACAGCACAATACCTCCGCTCCTGCTCAGAAGTTCGCTGAGCAGGAGGAGAGTAGACCCGGCACGACTGTCAGTTTAACGGCTGGTATTCATAGTGCCACCGACAGCTGCAAAACCATGAAGAATCGTGTCATTTTATACATCTGCTGCTCCTTTGGAGGAAGTTCTGAGCAACTGCAGAGAGAAATGCTGCAGTTGGGGGAAGACGTACAAGGTGTTCATAATGAAGACCTGAGAAGAGAACACATGCATAGGCACAGACTAGCCCAAATTCACTGTCACAATTCCCAGTGAAGAGAGGGGAAAATATAGGGTCTTTTCTGAAAATAAATCAGGCCACAAGCAACTTGCAGAGGATTAGGAAGAGTTGGGAACAAAGCCATATTTAACTCGGTCCTTTAACCACTAAACAATTTCCAATACCAAGCAGAAGGTAAGCCTCTCTGTCAAGGTCCTACGTCTGTACGTGAGGTCTGGCACAAGGAGCTCCCAGTTCAGCTGCAGTCTCTGTACAGGACTAAAAGACAAACAAAGAATTCCACCTGCAGTTACAGACTTGAACTTTGTAGTCCAAGTCGTTGCCAGCATGGTTTCCAACAGCTCTGACCACCCCCCAGTTCTTACGGTCTCTAATTAGTTCATAACTTTACAGTGCTAAAAGAGCTCACACCGCTGCATTCTCCCACCAGGAAACAACTCCAGGCATCACGTTACTCACAAAGGCCCCAAGCCCACAAAGGTACAGCTACAGCAGCAGTAGAGAAAACTTTCCAGCTACAGTTTTTAATAAGAAAGCTTATCCAGAAACTCAGCAGCATACAATCAATGTAGATTAGTTTTGTATCACTGCAAGCAGGAGGCAGAATACAGAAGAAAATCGAAGAGTCAGTGTCTACCTTCCATCAAAAAAGAAGAACTTGCCGCGGCCATTCTTTTCTCCATGCACAAAGTTTCCCTCAAATCTGTCTGTTGATGAATAGGTGACTGTACAGAATCCATGTGGCAACCCATCATCATCTAGATGCCCTGAAATAAAAGCCAGACAAAGAGCAAAAGAACACATTAAACGTTATATAAAATTGCAAACCTGTTCTGATTATGAGGACACTTGAAATGCAGTAGCTGCCTAGTACAAAACAGTAATCCGCATCAAAACATTTCTGTTGGGAACAGTGATCAGAGATTCAGTACAACTGAAGTCTGTACTTGTGTAACACACTTCGCTTAAAAAATAAGAAGAGTTGGGATAAAAGAAAAGGGATGAGAGACAGGAGAGAGAAGAATAAGCAAAAAGACGTTTCTAAAAGAAAAAAGGTTCATACTATTCTAACTCGTGTTAATATACGTCTTCAAAAACATTATAATTCTTTATCTAAAATATGTATTTCCTGGTGAGAACAGAATAGATTTAGACTTCAATCCACTGAGTAAGAAAAGGTTTGTTTTCTTCTTTTGATAAATACATGTCTTACAACAACGTGAGTGTGCCACCTCATAGCTATATCCACAGGAATTTAAAGAAATAAAAGCATGTAATATCTATAATACTATGCCCTTGCAATATGTCAGGCAGCTTGCTATTTCATATTTTAAATGCTGCTCTCCAGCGCCTTTCTGATGTGTTCACATTACATCCCCCCATCCCGTTCCCTTTCCTAGCTATATTAGTTTTCCCCATTACAGCTGTTGCACATGGGGAAAGCAGAGGGGCAACACACTTGGGTCCTCATCTGCATGGGTCTGTATTTTACAGAATACAACTGGCCAACTCTGATTAAGTTAAAGCATAATAAGGCTCCTATTGCATCTCTATCTGCCTCTCCAAAGCCAAAAGAAAATGGAAGAAGAGTGTTTTAAACAATTGTTATTGTCTGGTTTACCCGTGTGAACTTGGGAGTCCTTAGCACTGCGTTAGCAGAACATTGCTCCGACTGAAGAATGAAGATGCTCAAGCTCAGCAGGGCTGTTTTCAGCACAGTGATACACCAGGTGCGGGTGTTAACAAGGTCCCATCGTGACATTCTAGCAGGTAAAATTTTGCATGAAAACTGACAAATAAATAAAAGCTAGCATATATTTATGTTCTTCCATGTTTCTAAATAAAAACTGACCTCTGATCCCCCGAGTCTCTTGGTGAGGCATACAAAGCCTATTAGAGATGCGAGACAGCACACGCATCCACTTCTACAGGCTTTGGGTCAAGCTCTTACCTGACCAAATTCGCCCTAAACTGAAAGGTTCAACACACATATGGAAAGGCAGAAACAATCTCCAGTGTGAGGGGGAGCGACTACAGCCCAGGCTGATGTAGGCAACAAGAGGCGCTTCAGTATTACCAAACCTCAAGTCCTATGCCCAGAGAGAAAACAAGCTGTGCAGACAGCAGTGCGAAAAGCCAGCCACCCACTTCAGAAGTCCATCTTCCATCTATTCATGCCCCGACTGCAACAGGTCCACAGGGTTCTGCGGAGACAAGGGTACCCAGAGGGCACACACGCATGCCCACGTGTTCTCCTCACATCACCATAAGCTACTGCTTCCTTGGGATGCTTCACAGCCCCTCAGGGACATCACAGACAGGGCATGGTAAGGATGCGGGGCAGCTTCTGGTTAAGAAGTCCTCTCCTATGAGGCACGTGACCTGCCCTAGCCTTTTAATACCAGAACGATTGACAGAAGAATGACACATAGCACAGGATACTTTGTCAGGATATATTTCCAAACGTTTGCCTATCTCAAAGTAAAATTTCATTAAAAAAAAAGAAAAAAGGAGACAGACAAAGATAGAGGAAGGAAAAAAAAAAGAGCTAAGTGAACGTTCTGCAAAGTAACCAAGAAAGGCGGTGCAGGTTTATTACCCATCTCCTGCACTTGTTAGGTTGAGTATAGAAATGCACCAAGAACAGGAGAAAATAATGTTGAGGTATCTGAACTCATCCAAGAGCCAAGATTCCCTCCTTCACCCTTCCCATGTGTGCTCCCCAAAGTTTCTCTCGCACCTGCTCTGGCACTTGCCTAGGCACCCTCTGCAAGTAGTACAAGTCACTCAGCTGGCAGAAAATTCTTCCCTTTGTTGTTTTGTTGCTGGTTTGGGAGGCTGACCCCGCACCCCACTGCCACGGCAGAGCTGGGTGGCTGGGAGCCGACCTGCCCCTCTCGGGGGTAGCAACCCCCCTTGCTTCCAGCTCAGCCACCTCACAAAACATCACTGCGCTCTTAATTTAAGTTCCCAGTCCAAGCTAGACTGTTAAAAGTTTAGAAAGTTAATAAAACCAATCAGACACCACTTACTGTCCAAGCTGAGAGAAGTAACAGAGTAAAAAGAGAGAGCAAAGGGGGGGGGGGGCTACATCACTAAAGGCTTTTAATAACTTTGAAGAGGAACCCTTTAAAACAGAAAGGGCAGCATGCTGCTCCTTCCAAACAGAGGAAAGGCTTTTTTTCCTCTCATTCAGTCGGGACACCCCTTTTTGTAGAAGGGAAAAGTTTTAGCAGTTACATCAATTTAACTAAAAGGTCAGTGAAGTTTCTGATGTGAACACCTCTTCTAGAACAAAAACAACTATGTCAACATTTATGGTTTTAATTAAAGGCTTCAGTTTCATCAACATGGGAAGGGTATACTGGTGTCAGTTAACAAATCCTAAACAATACAGTACCAGTTTTCCCCTCACTATAGGAGCAAAACTTTTATAAAACACTTGAATTAAAATAATATACTGACAGTATTGGTACATTATACTATTAAAAAAAACAAACCCAAAACAAAAAACCAACTTGCAACTTTGTTTTCTGTGACTATTCAGTTTTGTCAAGATTTTGCTGGAATGCAAAGCCCAACACAAAAGCTGCCATGCTTAGACAGAGCACACGTCAGGACTTTTGCACGGTAGGATGCAGACTATCCCAGAGATTTAAATGGTCAGCTTTGATCCGATGGCCTCTATACAGAGTCTTAATCTCAGCCATACTACAAAGAATCCAATTCTTTTAATGTGCTAGAGATTTTCCCCTATTGAAAAAAAAAAACCACCATCCCCCACCCCCAAAAAACAAGAGACATTCAGTCTCTCTTAGTCAATAGGGGAAAAAAAAGCAATTTCAAGTTTAATTACATAGATGCAACTTTTCCTACATGGCTGAGGCCTTAGGCTCTAATTCTGTTTCAGATGAAGTCAATGGAAAAAGTCCTCATTATTTCCATGGGAGCAAAGCAGAGTGTTCCACTTCCCTTTCTCGCCTCTCTCCTCCATTTGTGAAAACAAACCCAAAATGTCTAAACTTACTTTTAAATTATTGTAAAACCTCACTTTTGTTACTTCTTTAAGGGTCTCTCAAGATCTCCTCTTAAGCTCAGACCATGAACTTTTCAAGAAAAGGAATTACACTAATAGGGGCTAGTTCACAACGCAGCATGATGGGGCCACTGACCAAAAACATTGATGTATACAAACCAAAGATAAAAGCCCTTTACTGTCAGTATTACTATTACTTAACAGAAGACATACAGTGTCTCATCAATAAAAAATTCTGGTCACAAAGATGCCAGATGGATGTTTTAGGAATAACAACAATAAACCACCACCACCACCCCCCAAAAAAAAAAAAAAAAAAAAGGATGTGCTGATTTCTGTCATATTTCTAACTTCCCTTGGGTAAGTGCAAAAACACCCAGCCAGCCTACTCTCCCCCAAACAGCACCCTGCTTCTGTGTCACTCGGAAAAACACATACTTCCATATACACTGCTGAATAACATATGCTTTAAAAACTCATTTCCTTAGCCCACAGAAACACTAAGCAAATCCACGATACGGCAGAACGCTTTACCTGTGATATGAGGATCTAAACTATGACCCTCTGCCCAAGACAGAATTGTAATCCATAGATTTGAGGAGCAGGGAGGAAAGGGAGGGGAAAAGACACATCTACCGGGGCACAGGGCACGCCTCATCCATAGCACCCTGCATTTGAAGAATCTCACTCCGCTCACAACCATGTTTTACACAACAAAGCTTCTCTTTGGCTCTGTTACCACATACCTAGACAATAAATCCAGATCCTAGCAGCAGCTGCTTAGCTCGCATCTGTTGTTAAACTAAGCTGCCATGCTCGATGTCTTCTTTGGAGAAATGTGCTTTGAGGCCTAATCCTCCTGCCACAAGATACAAACAGCCCACCACCGAAAGATGAGAATTACTGGCATCTTGTCACAGGCAGCTCCTTACTTTGCGTGCTTAATCCCAACAGCTGAAAATCCAGGATTGCTCTTTCCGGCAGGACTATGCCCTGCGAGGAAGCTCTGGGGAGCAGGCGCTTTCACGTACAGCTGGCACGCTTTGTTCGAGAGCTGCACGAGGCAAACCCGTACCGCGCTCCTAGATGCCTCACAGGGTGACAGCGTGTTGTTGAGTTGCATCGCTGCGTGCCAAGGTTTCCATTAGCAATGCCTTCCAGAAGCGTACACCTCTGTTTTAAAACTCTTAGAGGGCGAGTTCTCCACTCAGAAAAGGCTCGCACAGAAGGGGTGCGATGTGCCTTCCCGCTCCAATACGGGTGACTCGACTCCAGCTCCGCTGCCCACGTATACGACCAGTGTTACTTCCTCCAGCCGCCGCTGTCTTTTCCCTCTTCCATTTACACTAAGGTAACTGCAGCCTCCGGGAGTGACTGCCTCTCGCTTCCAGCGTCCCCACCGAGGACAGGTGTACCCTGACACGCCAGCCGCCTCTGAAGGAGCTGGCTAAGCTCCGGGAGAAAGGATTCCTCTTTCACCAGCCTTGCCACCGCGCTAAGGGACACGGCTTCCCAGGGTACGCGGTCCGCAGCCTGCGCGGCGGCTCAGAGGAGAAGGGGCAGCACAGCCCCGCTACCGTGCCGCGGGAGAGGCGGCGGCTGCCCCACGCACAAAGCAGGGCAACGGCCCGCCCTGCAAACCGCAGAGGGCACCGGCTGCACCGGGCAGAGAGCGCGGGCTGAGTGCCGCCGCCTGCACGGGGGACACCGCAGCAGTGGCAAAACAC